AAAAAAAATAATTGGAATGCCCTCGTCGACAAGCATTCCTTTCGGATCTTCCTCTTTGAGAGGATCGAGTCGAGAGACCACTCCCACTCATGACTATCAAGATGAAGAGTCGGACATGATGAAAAGCTCAGCAAATTCTTCACCGTTTATTCAACCGTCTCCCATCAATAATAACATGATTTCTTCTCCGAGAAATTTTACTTCCGACGAACAAAACACAACCAATAATTCATCCTTGAATCTAGGTTTAAAATCTAATTTAATGAATAATAGAGAAAATTTTTCAAAATATCCTGATCTGCCCAATTTTGAGCTCTACGAGTTCGATGAAATGGAGGAGGTGCTTGAGCGAATCATTAAGGAAAATGAATTTGTTGAGGAGGAATTGTATATTTATGAAGCGTTCTTAAAGAAAATGTCGGAACGATCTGGAGTTACAGCTGCGGCAGCTTCCAACAGCACAGACAAGGATAACCACAATTCATCATCAGCACTCATCAACACGAGTAATGTTCGTGCATCATCAGATACTCAAAACAACCCTAATCAAGTCTCACAAGATAAAAGCAAACATGAATCCTCGAAAACGAACATCCAAAAGTCTCAACAAGCACCAAATAACAATTCTGGAGGCCTAACAGCAGAATCCATGCAAGATGTGACCGGCCCTCTTGAGAACCGCCTCGTTCGAAGAAAATCCATGGACAATATTTCTGTTTCGTCATTCGACGATGCAAGTGACGATGCAAGCAGTGTGGTGAGTAGTGGAACGACAAACACGGCCGGAAAAAAGAAGAAGAAACGAAGACAGGCAGTTCAAGAATATCAATTGACGTATGAAAACAAAATTGAAATTGCCCTTAAAGCAATTGACATTCTCCGAAACACAATCGAAAAGGAAAACAAAATATATGAGAAAGAAATTGAAAGTATGCGAGCTCGAGTTCAAGAAGCAGACTTGGAAATTGAGGAGGTAGACAAGGAGCACCTTGAATTTCGAAAAGAAGTCGTAGAACCAAGAGACAATGGAAAGAATGCAAAAGACGGAGGGCTCTATTCACAATTCATTGCCGCTGAAAAAATTGTACAGTACTTTAAGAATAAGCAGCAACAAAAGGACACTCTTATTCACAAATTGAAACTGAAAATAAGTGAAGTAAGGGCCGTCGTTAACAAATCGAAAGGTCAACTCGAGTCACGAGAGCAATCTGGTGATCAACTAACTAAAACTGATTTCGATCAACTCAAAATTGAGAATGGACTCATGAATAACAAAATCGATGAGAGGAACAATGAACTTGTCGAGTTAAAGCTGAACACGGGGGCTCTTTTACAGAAACTCTCTGCCCTCACTGAAAAACTCAACAAACTCACTCAAGATTCTAAATGGTATCAAAAAGAAATTGAAAAGAACAGAAAGGACTTGGAATCACTCAAGGAAGAAATTGAGTTCGTGCTCAAGGACAAGGACATTGAATTGAGTAGAAATCAGAAAATGGTTGTCCAGCACGAACAAGTAAAAGTTCCTGAAATTCTCACCTACATTAAAATGAAAGCAGAACTCGATCAAGTCCGTAAAGAGGTCACGAATTGGCAACGAAAAGTAGAAATTCAATCCATGAATGAGAGCAAATTGCGAAAGAAACTGCAAGGTCTCTTGATGAGCAATGGAAATCCAAGAATTGCCTCAGCAGGATCCTCTAAAAGTGACTCGAGTTTGAGTGGAATACTGACAACCAACAACCAGCTCTCAAATAAACAACTTTTCAAATAGTGGTTATGAAAGCTGATCTCGACCTTAATTTTATAAATTTGGAAAGAATGGAAACAAGCACAAGACCATTAAAATATTAGAACTATTTTTTAAGGGATTCCATTCTTGGTCTTCCTTCTCTCAACGCAATGATCACCCTTCCCAATTATATCCATCTTCAGTTTTAATTTTTTTCCCACATCACAACAAATTCTAAAATTTGGTGTTTGCGAGCATGAACGGAGACATGTTTAAGCGTTGGAGCTAATTGAAAGAATGTATATTTCAAGTCATTTGCTGAGAAATCACTCTCTTGTTTCAACGTGCATTGAAGAAAAAAAGAGTGTGCGTGTTGATCGAAGCATTCATCAACAAGAATCACTCCAACAACAACTTAATATATACAACAACAACATCAACAGCGCTCTAGCTCTCCATCTCGAATCGGTTGTGAGTGACTTTGTGCCTCTTCTCCTATTAACCAATACCAATAGTTGTTGAGTGTTTAAACAAACCAACAACAAAAACAACAACCCCTACCCATCTACAAGTCGTTCGTGCTATTTCTAACGACCACACTACAGTGAATCCAATTCAAAACTACAGTATTGCGTGAATTTAACATCTCTTGCATTCTACTTTCCAATTACACCTCAATAAGGCTTTCTCATTCGTGCATTTTGAATTTCATTCTCCTCGAGTCACACATCAAATTTTTCACCATCCGACTTTCTCTTCTTCTTATTATACTCTTTTCATACCATTTTCATACACATAGGTAGTGAAAGTCAATCCATTGAAGAAGAAGAAGAAGATTCTTATTGACGACAACGAGAGACCATCTGCAACCAATCGAATTATTGCCGAGAATTTGTAATTGACAGCATTCCATTGGATACAAACGTGCATCCAATCGATCGATTCGTCGTGAAATTTCCACATCAACATCTGATTGCCAAAATTGTTGTGTGTGTGGATTATCCATTTTCTGCATCCATATAATCTTTCCCCATTTTGGAAGAATTGCAGTACCTTCTCAATCATTCATCATTGTAATTCTCTCTTTCGAAAAGAGAAGGTCGCACACTCAATTCCTTTCGCCTCTTCACTCATCCTCGTGTCACAACGTTAAGTGTTTGTTTCAATTCTTCACTAGAATCCTTGCATTCTAAATTTGGCAAACCGTTACTGCCCGTTCGTTTTTGTACAACAACAACAACTAGACAACGACGACAGCATCCACCCCTCGAACGTCATTGACTCAATTTTACACTCGATCATCATCTCTTTGACTTTTACTGTCTGCGCAGCATTTAAAGTCTGAGAGAGAATTGTCTTGGTCGACTCGATCAGTGTTGAAAAAAGTAACAACAACAACAACAACCACTCTATCACCTCTCGGACCGTCACAACATCAATCACTTGTATTAACACATTACCATTATCAATATCACCATCATTGTATCATTTGCAACTTGTTGAAACAATTACGACAATTTCCACTTAGTTTCTTCTCTAACCGTTTTCACAACATCATTGACACACCACTTTTAACAACAGATCAGAGTAGTAGTAGTAGTAGTATCTCCTCCTATTGAACACACAAAATGCCTTCCATTCATCCCTCCTTCTTCTTTCCATTATGTTGGCTTCCCTCTCCCCAACACGATCATTACTTTTCAACTTCCTATAAATGTAACTCCAATGTGAGAATAAGGCTTCATGAATTGTACGTTCATCAATTGAGAGAACAACGTGAGAAGAAGAGGAAATCCATGGAACAACATGCAAATCCTCATCATGATGCGTCGTGGTTGTATAATCCTCATGCCATGTGTGTTTCCTCTCAAGATATTACCATGAAACATCTTCACACCATGATGATGAAGGATCATTCGACTCCTAATGGACGGAATGTTCATCATCCTCCTCCTTCTGCTCACTCGCATCACCACAATCACCACCACCACCACCATCAACATCCTCATGCTCACTCGCATTCGTTTCCTCATCATCATCAACAACAACAAGGTGGTGGAGATCATTCACAACGACAACAACACCAACACTCTCACCAACATCGTCATCCTCATCAACAACACTTTCACGAGAAGAAACAACCTTCCTTTGGTGATGAGGACACGATGGAAATGATTGCCAAGAATCTTCGAATGTTAGAAGACGATGGTGATTATGAAATGCAAGATTGTCATGGTGGCAATCATGGAATGACGAAAATTCACATGGTGGAACAGACGCAACAACAACAACTTTCTCTTTCGATTCTTGCTCCATCTTCCACCTCAACATTTGAAAATAGTTCTTCCTCTTTTTCTGATTCCACCATGATGGTCCAAAATGGAAATTCACCTCAAATGATGGTTGGTCTCGACCCCAATAGTCAAAGCAAACGAAAATCTTCTTTGCATTATCTGCCGATTGAAAGAGGTGAATGGATCAAGCTCGATACCATGTTGTTGAAAGAACGTGAAATGAATACGACTATCATTTCTGAGAGTCGAGCAAAACAACAACAACAATCGAATCATGCTTCTTCTCCACCTTCCAATTCTGGTCGAATGGAAGAATTGCAAATTGCCATCAAATTGGTCGAGAGTGAAAATGAATTGGCTGTCGATCAGTTTGATTTGGTCGTTCAATTATGTACCAAAATGATCTATTCAGTGGTCACAAGTTCGTTCTTGTGTGGTCCCATGTGGGAACTCGAAAACGAAATGAATCGATTGCAACAATCGAGAAATCATTTGCTTTGTAAGGACATGAAAGGTAGCATCTATTCACCTCGTTCTCAACACAATCATCCCAGCCACAACAAAATTAGTCAACAACACCAATTGAATGGAATCCTTTTGAGGAAACATGAAGAGATCTATTGGAGAAAATTCGTAGAGGTCGTCTTCTTGAAACTCATTGTGGATCCAAAGGTCATTGTGGTTGGATTGGCTTACTTTGAAAAGGTCATTCGTTTGTTGGAGAATGAACGAATGAGTAATTCACCACTCTTACGGCAGCATCAAATGAATTGCAATTCTGAAAAGGGTTATGAATCATCTTTCAATCGTAATGAGTTGAAAACAATCATGTGTATTTGTATCATGTTGGCCAGTAAGATGTATGATGAGGATAATTACTGGAAGAGTAAGACCTATTTCAAGTTATTCAGTAGTTTGTGTCGAAAGCGAGAGGACAATCGAAGAATCACCTTTAAAGAATTCAATCAGTTGGAAGTTGAAATTCTTAATGTATTGCAATTCCATCTCGTTCTTAATATGGATGAGTTTAGTCGAGAAATTGTGCAGAAATTCATGAAGGTGAATTTCGAGGAGCATGATGCATTGCTCATGATTTAACAGTATGGATCATTTCCAGTGTTTTATATGCACACTGAATCGTCCTGACCTTCTTTCTCTTTGTATTATATGTTGTTGTACATGCATGACTCAATTTTCTTTGAGAATAAAACTCACTACGAGGTTTTTCTCTGATGATTTTCAGTATTCATCTTTAACTGTGGTCTGTCTGTTAAAATCCTGCAATACACTGCTACCACTCAATTTGTTGAGAAAATGGGGTAGTGAAGAATCTAAAAGATAGTATATTGTTTTCAACACATGCGATCATCCATTCATTATTAAAAGTGATTTCCTTTGAATGAATACTCATTTCATGAAAGCACAGAACAAAAAATGTTAATACAATTTCTCAATAATTCAAGAAGAAGAAGAAAAAGAGCACGTTACTATCATTATATCGCTCAGTACATTCTTATCCACAAGATTGCCAAGTTTTGATTGAAAATCGAGTTCATTCAGAGTTGGAAAAGTTATTGACCACAGTGCATTGTTGTCATAATCTCCAGACTGCATGCAGAGAGTTGTTCCACAAAGCAAATTTTGAAGAGTATTATAAAGATTGGTTTCAATAGGTTTAAATTGGTTTCAATTGATTTTGATTGTGGCGAATTCGTCATGCAACTTACCCAACCACCAAAACTAAGCATTTCGCTCTTTAACGGGTCAAAAACTGATACATGACTACTGAAACCGTTCTGGAATGTTCTCAAACTATTCTTAGAGAGACGTTGAGGGAATAGTTCAACTTTAGTCCACGTTTTCAAAGCAAAATCAAACATCCAACAATCATTAAGCCAATGGTCTCCATTATATCCTCCAAATATCACCATTCGTTGTAATTTCTCGATCATGACACATGAGTGAGAGCTTCTAGCTGAAGGAGTGTCCGTATTCACATGTTGCTTTGAGGAGGTGTTTGAGTCGACACTCCTTTTGTCTCCACCCGGATGAAGAAGGTACCACCTCTTGGTCACCAGTGAAAATTCACATACATCATTATACCGGTAATTATCATCCTTTCCAGCAAAAAATACAATGGATTGGCGTTGTTCATTCAACACCATGGAAAAAACTTCTCTGGGAGAGAGGCGATTTGACTTGTTGCCACATTCTTCCATGTGTGACCAAATATTTAGCTTAATGTCATAGACAAAAAAATCATCCAAGTGATGAACTGAATAACCACCAAATATGACAATTTTGTGCTGATTTGTAAGATAGACACATCTGTGTCCTTGACGTCCTTCTGGTGGTCTACAAAGTTGTGTAGTATCGGTAGAAGTATTTTCTGTGCTGCTGTTTTCGAGTTCATTCTTCGTTCGTCTCCATTTCCAGTTACGCTCGTCCAAAGAAAATTCGAAAAGTTTGTCATTGTAACCGTCATCATTTCCAATACCACCAAAAACGTACAAGAGTTTGGTGAGAGGAGAATAGCAAACACTGTGGCCCCAAATTTGAAGTGGATATGTATTAATAATCTCGTCGTAGTCGTCGTCATTCATGATGTTATCAGTGTTTTCATTTATGTCATCACGATTGTCATCTTGGTTTGTGGTTGGCTCTTCTTCATCGTCATCATCGAAACAGTATTTCTTGTCATGGAATAATTCAATCCATGTCCTTGTGTCCAAATCAAAAGCTTGAATCACAACATCGTCACTCATGTTAGTACATCCAGATACGAAAAGGCACCAATTCATTTGTGAGTTTTGCACCAAACAACCACTGTGAAAACTCGTAGAAGTGGGTTTTGATATCGAACGATACTTGCGCGAGCGATTGACTTTGCATGAATCATCATCACCCTTTCCATGTTTTTCACCACTACTACCACCACCACCTACGGACAGTATTGAATCTGTGATGTTGGTTGTTGATGAAATTATATTATTGATTGTGTTTTCCATTAAAGTTGAATTCGAATGATGAGAATAATGGTGTGAATCAAATCTATCGTTCCGATCAATCCATGTGGGATGATGGTCACGGTTATTATTGTCATCATCATTATGTATTTCTAAAATCCAAGAAGAATACGAGGCTGCAGCCGAGAGTTGAAACAATTGAAAAGCCTCATAACATTGATCTTCTTTCGACTGCTCAGCAATATCGCAAAGATTTTCAATGCTCAAGAAGAACATTTTTTCGCTTGTAGCTCGTAGTTACTAATTGTTACCCGAGAAAATGTCAATTTGATGATAGTCTATCATACGGCATCTGTACAAACCACTCCAGCTGAAGCATGGTTGTGTGAATCTCCTCATCATGTTGATGCCCGAATTTGCCTTTCGTCGGGATCAATGTCATAGTAGTTGCCCGAATTATGGCATCAAAATACCAAAAGTCTCCAATCGAATTAATTCAGCACAACATGAGATGTTGTTGGTGAAGAAAGTGAATGATCGAATTATTATTGTTATTATCATGTCATCGAACGAATTATTGTTATTATCATGTATCGATTGGAACTCTCAATCGAGCAGCGTGAAGAAGATGAAGTTGATCATGAAGCGATAGTTTAAAAAAAACGAAATAAAAATGACCTCCAAATTTTTTCATCAAAAAAATATCCAACAACATCGCCTTTTTTTGAATCATAGAGAAGCCTTGTTGTTGTAGTGTTTTAGAAAATCGTCGTCATCATCAATAATACTCCCATTATTTATATCATCATATACTCACAACAATACTTTAATCATTTGTATACAGAGAATATAATCCGGTTGCAACATCATGTCCCTTTTTACATTTTCTCCAATCGAATTGGCTAGAGTGGACCGAATTCAATTCGGTATCTTGAATCCTGAAGTGATCGAGAAGATGAGTGTATGTGAAGTACTCCATGCAGAAACTTTTGAAAAGGGAAAACCAAAGGAAGGAGGATTAATGGATCTTCGTATGGGTACCATCGATCCTTCTCTTACTTGTCTAACGTAAGTACAACTCTTAATTTTAAATTGTGCTCACAAACATAACTCGTACATTGTGTACATCTGGTTTGTTTTTTTTTGCTTCATGATGTCTTGATCGAATGTAACCCCACTTCTCTGTTTGCATATCTTGATATGGCAAACCTTGTGTTTTCAACTTCTTTAAAAACACTTCTTAACACATAGATGTGGAGGAAATTCGACAGAATGTCCTGGTCACTTTGGACATGTGAGAATCCATCCGGTATTCAATGTACTCTTTCTCAACACAACAATCAAAGTGCTACAAAGCGTTTGTTATCATTGCGGTAAACTTTTAGCAGACAAGAATACACATGCCTTCAAAAAGGCCTCCAAATACCAGAATAGACGTAAACGATTCAAAGAAGTGATAGATTTATGTCGAAAAGATAAGTGCGTCGTGGGTACTGTTGGTCCTGTAGACCCAAATCAACAGCCTCAAACAGGAGATGGAATCGTACAAGATCCTACCACTTCCGAATTAACATTCCAACCTCGAAATGGTTGTGGAGGTATTCAACCTAAGATATCTAGAGATGGCTTGAAAATTTTTGCAGAATTCAAGAAGGATGCTGCTGAAGGACCAAACAAACAAGAGTTGACAAAGCAAGAACTCACTGCCGAACGTGTACTTCAAATCTTTAAGAGAATATCTAATGAGGATTTGGAATTATTGGGATTTGATAGAGACAATTCTCGTCCTGAATGGATGATTATTACATGTCTCCCAGTCCCTCCACCTCAAGTTCGTCCTAGTGTACATCACGGTTCAGGAGATCGTTCTGAAGACGATTTAACTCACAAACTGGCTGATATCATTAAGGCAAACGCAGCACTACAAAGAAGCGAAAAATCTGGTACACCACAACATCAAATGGAAGAAATGGTGAGAATGTTGCAATATCATTGTGCTACATATGTAAATAATGAATTTCCAGGTATTCCAACTTCGACCACTAAAAGCGGAAGACCTTTGAAATCAATCAGACAAAGATTGAAGGGAAAGGAAGGACGTGTTCGAGGTAATTTGATGGGTAAACGTGTTGACTTTAGCGCCAGAACTGTCATTACTCCAGATCCAACAATTGATATTGACCAAGTCGGTGTTCCTCGTTCTGTTGCTTCAAACATGACCGTTCCCGAGATTGTTACACCATTCAATTTTGAGAGATTGAATGAATTGGTGATTAATGGTCCTTTGACATACCCTGGAGCAAAATATGTCATTCGTGAAGATGGTACACGTATTGACTTGAGATTTGCCTCTGGAAAAGCTAACGATCAAATTCAGTTGGAATATGGTTACAAAGTGGAACGTCACTTGCAAGACGGTGACGTTATTCTCTTCAACAGACAACCTTCTCTCCACAAAATGTCTATGATGGGCCACAGAATTAAGGTCATGCCTTACAGCACTTTTAGAATGAATTTGTCGGTCACTACCCCGTACAATGCTGACTTTGACGGTGACGAAATGAACTTGCACGTTCCTCAATCGTTGCAAACAAAAGCCGAACTGCTCGAGTTGATGATGGTCCCAAGAAATATCATTACACCACAAAGTAACAGACCAGTCATTGCCCTTGTGCAAGATACATTGCTTGCTTCTTCAAAATTAACTCGTCGTGATGTCTTTATTGGAAAGGATCTCATGATGAATTGTCTCATGCATTTGTCAGACTTTGATGGCAAATTACCAGTTCCAGCCATTATGAAACCAAAACAATTGTGGACAGGAAAACAATTATTCAGCTTATTGTTACCAAAGGTCAACTTGGAAAATACTTCCTCAACTCATGAAGACCTTACTGAAGGAAAGGACTATTTAGATCCAGATTTACCAGAATTCGATACCAAAGTATTGATCGACAGAGGTGAATTGGTTTCTGGTATTTTGGATAAAAAGTCTTTGGGTTCCTCTCACGGTTCTTTGATTCACATTATTGTGAACGAAAAGGGACACAATGAAGGAAAGAAGTTTTTGGGTGCCTGTCAAAGAGTGATCAATCACTGGTTATTGCAACGTGGTTTCAGTATTGGTATTGGGAGATACCATTGCCGATAAGGCAACAATGGAGCAAATCGAAGAAACCATTAGAAAGGCTGAAAAGGACGTTAAAAATATTGTTAAAGATGCCCAAGAAGGAAAACTAAGAGCAGAAGCAGGTAGAACTATTCAACAATCTTTCGAAAATCAAGTTAACAAGGTTTTGAACAAGGCTCGTGAAGACGCCGGTAACAAAGCAAAGAAGTCTCTCAAGGATGATAACAACATCAAGTCCATGGTCACTGCTGGTTCAAAGGGTTCATACATTAACATTTCACAAATTATTGCTTGTGTTGGTCAGCAAAACGTTGAAGGTAAACGTATTCCATATGGTTTTCGTAATAGAACATTGCCTCACTTCTCTCAGGATGATCATGGACCTGAAAGTCGTGGATTCGTTGCCAACTCATATCTCAGAGGTCTTACTCCACAAGAATTCTTCTTCCACACTATGGGAGGTCGTGAAGGCTTGATCGATACTGCCGTCAAGACATCCGAAACTGGTTATATTCAAAGAAGATTGATCAAGGCTATGGAAGACATTATGGTCAAATATGATGGTACAGTTCGTGATGCTCAAGGAAATGTCATCCAATTTTTATACGGTGAAGATGGAATGGATGCTCACAAAGTTGAATCACAAAGCATTGACATGATGAATTTGAGCGATACCAAATTCGTCGACAAGTTTTGGTATCCATCTCTTGGACAAGCTCCAACCTTTACTCCTGGTTCTGAGTCATTGGCATCATCGGCAATTACAATGCCATTAGGTGGTATCAGCAAGGAACCTTTTGTCTCTCAAAAGGTCTTTGAAGAGATTTTGAGAGAACCAGAGCAATATTTGAAGGAAATTCGTGATGAATACAAACAATTGTTATTGGACAGAGCTGTTTTGAGAACTGAAATTTTCCCATCTGGTGAGACTAAGGTTGTCATGCCTGTAAACTTGAGACGGCTCATTAAGAATGCTCAAAAAGAATTTGGTATTCACCCAAGTGCTGGTAAAGTTAGTGACTTGAACCCAATTTACGTTGCTAGAAGCATTAGAAAACTTTGTGAAGAGTTGGTAGTTATTAAGGGTACAGATAAGCTTTCCAAGGAAGCTCAAGAAAACGCCACTCTTCTTTTCAGCATTTTGGTTAGATGCACTTTTGCTTCCAAGATTGTATTGAAAGAGTTGTGTCTCAATAAGGAAGCCTTCGATTTCATTCTTGGTGAAATTAAGATGAGATTCCATAACTGTCTTGCTCAACCAGGTGAAATGGTGGGATCCGTTGCTGCTCAATCTATCGGTGAACCTGCCACTCAAATGACTTTGAACACTTTCCACTTTGCTGGTGTCTCTTCAAAGAACGTTACTTTGGGTGTTCCTCGTTTGAAGGAATTGTTGAACGTTGCAAAGAATATCAAAACTCCAGGTTTAACAATTTATTTGAAATCAGATATTCTTCACGATATGGAACAAGCCAAGCATGTCAAGGATGACTTGGAATATACTACATTGGGTCATGTCACTGCATCTACACAAATTGTCTACGATCCAGAGCCATATGAATCAGTGATTGAAGAAGATAGAGAATTTATCAGAGAATTGATCGATGAAAATAAGGATCAAAGATTAGATTCCACCACACTGAATCCGTGGGCTCTCAGATTTGAATTGGACAAGATGATGATGAGTGAAATGACCATGACACAAGTTGCAAGAAAAATCAAGGAAGAATTCCAAAACGACATTACATGTTTCTACTCCAATGATAACGCTGATCACTTAATTTTGATTGTTCGTATTCATAAGGATGAAAAAGAAAGAGAAAAAGACGAACAACTCAAGAATCCAACTCCAGAGTTTGTTCAAAAGATTGAAGAAGAGGACATGGAAAATAGCACAGTTGACTTTTTGAGAAGTTTGGAATCTAACATGTTGAATGAATTGGCTCTCAAGGGTTACAAGGACATCAAGAAGGTCTTCCTTAGAGAAGAGACTGACAAGATGACCTTCTCTTCTGAAGGTCGTACCAAGACAAGTCAATGGGTTTTGGACACAGAAGGTTGTAACTTACTGGCTGTTTTGGCTCATCCAAAAGTTGATCATACTACTACTGTCTCAAACGATGTCAATGAAATTCTTGATGTATTGGGTATTGAGGCATGCAGAAATGCATTGATGAGAGAAATGAGAAAGGTCATTGAGTTTGACGGTTCCTATGTGAACTATCGTCACTTGGCTATTTTGTGTGACGTTATGACTCACAGAGGTAGTTTGATGGCCATCACTCGTCACGGTATTAACCGTAGTGATACTGGACCATTGATGAGATGCTCATTCGAGGAGACTGTTGAAATCCTTATTGAAGCTGCTACATTTGCTGATATTGATACTCTCAAGGGCGTGAGTGCTAACGTGATGGTTGGTCAATTGGCTCCAATTGGTACCGGATGTTTTGGTTTGTATTTGGACGAAGAATTGTTGAAACAAGCGGTTGCTGTAAAGCCAATGTATGTCATGGAAACAACTGCCAAATCAACCATGTTTGGTTCTATCGGTGTTTCCACACCTTACCATACTGGAATGGCAACACCTTATCACTCTGTTTCAACACCTGGTTATCATGGAGTTTCAAGTCCTTGGACCTCAACTCCAGTCAGTAGAACTCCATCTCCAGAACATGGTGGATTCAGCCCTTCACCTTACAATTCAGCATTCTCTCCAATTGCTGGCTCCCCAACATCACCTGGTCATCATGGATACTCACCAACATCTCCAAGCGGTGGTTATAGTCCTTCATCTCCTGCTTATTCACCAACATCACCAAATACTGGAGGCTACTCACCATCCTCACCTGCTTATTCACCAACAAGTCCAAGCTATTCACCAACATCACCAGCATATTCACCAACGAGTCCTGCTTACTCACCAACGAGTCCAAACTACTCGCCTACTTCGCCAGCATACTCACCAACAAGCCCAAATTATTCACCAACGTCACCAGCTTACTCGCCAACAAGTCCTCGTGTGACAAGTCCAAGTTATTCTCCATCATCGCCAGCATATTCACCAACAAGTCCAAGTTATTCACCATCGAGTCCTAATTATTCGCCAACATCACCTGCTTACTCGCCAACAAGTCCTCGTGTGACCAGCCCAAGTTATTCTCCATCATCACCAGCATATTCTCCAACAAGTCCAAGCTATTCTCCAACTAGCCCAAGTTATTCACCAACAAGTCCAAGCTATTCACCATCGTCACCAGCTTATTCACCAAGTCGTGATGACAATCAATAAAAAGGAGAATGCAACGAATGTAGTGCAATGCTGTAAATAAAAAGTAATAAAAAGTATGCATGTAGTAGCACTGACTTGCATCAACTTTTGATCTTTTCATTCTGCCAAAGAGGTGGTTTCGCCATAATAACACCAGTTCGATATCGTTAATTTCAATTCTTCTATTACATAATTCAATGCTGCTTCCATCATGGTTTTCTACTTATCAGAGCTGAAATTGGAATTGTGAATCCCTGCAACACCAAGAATGTTATAGTATGATTAAGGGTCTGGAAGATTGGCTTGATGAACTAGGAACACGGAACTGTTATATGGCAGTTTTGGAGCAAACAAGACCTTGTTCAACAATTTGAACAAAAAACATCAAGACCAATTCCAACAAGAACATCATGATACCCTCCGAAGATCCTCAACATTGTACTACTCAATCAGCTCAATCAGTCCCTCTTTTCAATTCTCTCGTCCAACAACCATCTGTTACAACAACCAGTCATGTCCAAGCGTCTTCCTCCTCCGAATTAATTATGATCATCCAACAACCTCAAGAAGAATCTAAAGCATCCATCATCACAATGATGAATCACCTCTCCGTTCAGTGTTGTGGTTATTATTTAACCACTGAAATCGTCTTGGAGATTTTGTCTCATCTCGATACGGCCAATCTCGCAAACCTTTCCATTCTCTCCAAAGAGTGGTATCAATTCATTACATGTACACGATGGATGAAAAGATCAAGAAGTTTCAATGATGAGTAAACATGGTGATCATGATGATTCCGATCCAAACCATCACCATCATTATTATAATAATATCCCTTCGTCCGATGATGAATTCTATGAATCCTCTCCATGTTCTGGCTTGTGGGATCAACTCTTACAAACTCAATTTGCCATCTTGTACTTTCCTTTTAAACATGTAAGGAGTGGTTCGAACAAGATCCAATCGCTCGAGTTTTCCAATCCCTTTCAACTCTGTAAATATTTGGCTCAACATGTTGGAAAATTCAAAGAAATTACCAAATTGCAATTTGAAGTACTCAATCCAAAGAATGATGATCAACTTTGTCTATTCTTTCGAACACATTTGAAAGGAAATAGCAAAGTTGGAAAATCACAAATGGCTCGAATGATTTCACATGGACTTTCAGTGACTGATGTTCCAAAATATGAACCTACGAGTGCTTTTAAATTATTGACTCGATCCTACAAATTGAAATTGGATGACAGCAAGTACTTGTTAGTGAAGGGTTCAATTTTTGACAATTCGGGAACCAAGACGGAATTTTCAAGAAGATCCATCTTTTCACCCAATGTGTATGCTGGTAAGACAAGTGTATTGTATGTTTATAATGATGAAATGGAATCGTTGGAAGGCATTTCAGAATGGGTAAAAGACACTTCTGTTCATTTGACAGGTGGCATTCGAGTTCAATCCAACTCTATCATTGGCTCTAGAGACAATTCTGTTTCTGAGAACAACCAAAAACCACCTCTCGAATTAATGGTCTTTAATTTATTCCCCACATCTGAAAACAAGTCAACATCTCGAAAATCTTGGAAAAAACCAAAAATTTCTCTCTTCACTCGAGTTCGAAATTCCAAAACCATTTCCAATGCATTACAGAAGGCAAAAGAACTTGGAATGCCACTTGTCTATTGCAGTGCTTGTAATGAAGAATATGAAACGGTTAAATTTGTGAATGTCTTGTCGCATGTGCTGCTATGTAAGATGTACGATGTTTTGGGGGAGAACTAATCAACTGTGGCAAAAGGTTGTTGATGAGTTTGATATTAGTATGTGTTGGTGGATAAATAAACAACCAGGTCGTGTCCGAGGCCTTTTGATAAAACCCAGAATAAGGTCTTGTCAACTAAAAAGCGAACACGAGAGACATCTGACAGCGATTTTGACAGACGCAATTACGCTTTCATCGAACCTTATTTGCGTCCTTGAACTCCGATACCTATGTGCACAAAAAAACGTCTCTTCCCCAAAACACTCTTCTGACACTTTTCAACAATAATCTTTAAAGAGACTGTCTCTCATTTGCTGTTAGTCCAAACATCAACTTTCTGAAAGTTCATCTTTTCGCTTTTTTATTCTTTCAATACCAACAACCCCAAAAAACAATACCACAACCCTCACACCACCTTCTCCACCTTTCGAATTTGCATCAGTTTCAAAACAAATCTTTGATGCACTTGAAAACCGGAAATTATATTCTTCTCTCGAATGTGTACACAATTTCCAATTTCCAAACCAACCAACCACAACCTCTAGCAACTTCAACAACAACAACAAAACAAATGATGAAACAAACTTGTTCACATGGCTCTTTTTCGATTGGGAGCATCATTTCCTTGTTGATTTTAATAATTTTGTTCATGTCGTCCTTGAGTGTTGTTGTTGTGGCCTCAACATGGAGTCTCTCACACCAACAACCAAAACAACAGCAACTTGTGGAAGGACAGCAACAACAACAACAGGTCATCACCAACAACAAGAATGATGATGAACCCTTTGAGCAACATGAACGACTTGGGAACCAGCGCGGTGCATTCATATCTCTTCTAGTGACGTTTTTGTCATCTCGAAAGAGTCTTGACTATTATGGAACAAATACGCACAGTTTGGCAAGTGACATGATAGGGAACATCCACATGACATCTCCGTCCTTCTCTTCTTCTCTCGATGATGCCACACTCTCAACAACATCCAACAACTTGACATTACCTCCTCTTCAGCCTCCACCGGATGTCCTTCTTTTCTTTTACAACGTTTCCGATTTTGAAAAGTTAGTTTCTCCTCTCACCAACTATTCTCAAATTGCTCAAGAAATTATTGTCATGACCTCTTCTTCCACCACATTGGGTTGGATTATCATTCCATTGAGAATTATTGTCACGATCATTGATGTCATTCTTTTGATTGGTGTTTGCATGCTTCGAAATTGGGAACCTGTGAAATCCAAAATGATTCCAAGCTTGACCTTGTTATTTGTGAATTTTATTGGTAATTTGCAAACTATTATTGACAAGCTTCCAGTGGTGAAATTGTTGTTTCAAAGTTATTGGAATGAATACTTGTTGGAAAAATTGGCAAATCCATTGTTAGATGCCAGCACTTACTATTCTGAACATTTATTTGGACCTTATCAATTACCTCAATGGTTTTTAGATTGGGCTGTTTTTTCCAATGTGTATTGCTATCTTGTGGCGTATGGATTATATTCTATTTCAATCTTGGGAGTTGTTGTTTACAATGTTCAATTGTTAAGATTTTTTGTGTTAACTTTTCTGAAGGAAAGAAAAGATCAGTTTCGAAATGCAATTAATGAATTTAAGGAAAAAAAATGGAAAAGTGGAGGAATGTGAAATTGCAGAAAATGCAAGAAAAGGAACGGCAAAGAAATAACGAAAGCAATTCCAATTCATCAACTCTTGAAAAGAGAAAATCGGCCAAATCTCTTTCTCGTGCCTCAGTATCTTCCTTGTCGACCTCATCGATGGATGCGTCAAGCACCTCTCATTTAGTGCCAGCAATCAATTTAACAACTGTCCTATCGGTAACGAGCACTCCGAGTGATTCAATTCCAACCATGACCCCTCGATCTTCCATGATTTACAACACTATGCAAGGAGGAGACGATACATTAACCGATGATACCTACGACACCGAAGATATGGTTGTCGATTTAACAAGCGATGACGATGCCGTGTCAACTTCCTTCGAAGAAATTACCAAATTTGGAAAAGGTGTGAAAATTTTGAAACTCATCCAAAGGTATCGAGTTATTGAAATCATCTTTTGCACGTTTTGGATCATACTTTGGTTTATTCTGGTATCAATTGCAATTTTTGGAGTGGCTACAGATACCATAGGAGTTATTTTCCCAAAATGGAGTTTAATTCGAGGATATTGTTCAGGTAATGCCTATGCAAATGTCATCTCCTTTGCAATCATATTCTTTTCAGTGACGTTTGTCATTGCAATGATTTCATGGTTTTTCGATTTGGGTGTTTCCTTATTCAAGTATTTCAAAAGAAGAAAAGCAGACCAAAACAACTCGTTGAAAACTCCCAACTTTTTGTTTTATCACTTTATAGAGACAGACCCATTCGTATACAGAACAGAATTTCTCATGAATATGACTTTTACTGTCATTGGCGTTGTAGTTTCATTGATCTTTTGGAACTCTCTTACATTTACAGCATCTCTTATTGTGGATCTTTGTTTTACTTTATTTGTACAATGTTTTGGAGGTAATTTGGCAAATCCAGGTGCCACAGTGTTGCGTGCCTTGTATAATTATGTGAAAACAAATTCGACCAAGAGAAAACAAAAGGATCATGAAGGTCAACAAGAATCTTCGAAACCAACAGCGATTAAGAATTTGAAAGAATTAGTGAATGCCCCTTCCTCATCGGACTGTTTGAATTATATCATTGCTCATCCAAAGGAAAGAGAATTGTTTTATAGTCATCTCAAAGAGGAATTTTCTTCTGAAAATTTATTGTTCACAGAGGCATTGATGAGCTTGAAAAAGATTAGTGACAGGTTCATGAGAAGAAAAATGCTGAAATTGAAAGAAATTGTGAAATTGTACTTGTCCGAAGCAGAGTCTGTGTTTGAAGTGAATCTTCCAAGTGTGCTTGTGAGAAATCAATTGAAACCATATTTTACAATGAGCAAATTTATGGATGAACAGAACATGTCGGCCAATGATTTGCCGAAAACGGTAAAGGACGTGGCCACTCAAATGTTTCCCAATGTATCGCAAGAAGTGGAAACAAAGGTGAGAGATGCTTATTCTGAGATTTGTCACCCACAATTCTTGAGTGGTGTCCAAACAGAGGTTTACAAGAACTTGTTGGACTCTTATTTCCGATTCATAGGCTCCAGAAAATGGTTGAATTATGTGAAGGAATTTGATGTGTAATTATACGTGATTGTTTCTTCTGCTTGTATCAAGTTTTGCTTGACATGGAAGGACATTCTAGGGTCTTTATCAAATTCATGAAAATACAAATATATTTTGTTATTGTTTCTGAATTTGTTGCTCAAAATATGTCATCCTTGCAAGAGATTCAGATCCAAATATTGCTGTCAATATTTTGTGACAATAGAGATGAAGACATATTGACCTCGGTCATGTGAGGAGTTTCTTGTGATGCCAAGAGTGTTCTTAGCCACAAGATTGAGAGATTTTAACTCCAAACATACGTCATCCTCAATTATTCTTCCAACCTCGATTTTTCTTTGCTCACATACAGGTATTACATTATGTTACAACACAACAGCATATGGAAAATCGTCTTTTCAGGTGACACACTTTGCTTACGGGGCTAGCAACTTCACCCCTTTAACATCACCCGCCTTGTCTACTCAAATCAACACCAATATCTTTAAAGGTTTTCTTTGAGTTAGATTCTGGTTTTTTTGTTTTCTTTGAACTAACACCTGATGGTAAATACTTTCTTTCTTCTTTATCAGCATTCAATTGTTGTTTGATTTTTTCCTTTTCGGCTTGTATTTTCTTCTTTTCTTCTAACAATTTTCTTCGTCTTTCTTCCATCTCTGCATCAGTGTTACGGCATGAAGAAGACATTGATTGAGAAGGGAAGGCGTTTGTTTTGGTTGTTGTAGATGTAGTTGCTGTTGATGATGATGTTGGTGATGGTTTCGTGATGTAGTCTTGAATCACATGAACAAGAGCTTGCAAGTCATGAATATTCAAATTTCCTGACTTGATGATGAGATTTTCATTCTGATCATCAATTTCAAACCCACATAAAAACAATAAATTAATTGCTCCCTGTACATTCATTACAAACTCATTAAATTTCGGATTTGCAAGTTTGATTTTTCTGAACTTTTCTTCATTCGGATGAGATATAATATTACTACAAATACTATTAATAATTTGCAGAGTGGAAGGAGAGCTCAACAGAGAACCTCTGTTGCTCTCAATAAATTCCGATGCTTGTTGATGAACAAGTTCCCATTCGGGAGGAATTGTTTTCATTTTTTTGTTTTTAAAAATAGCATTAGAGATGGAAGAGCAAGTTCATTACTGTTGTGTTTCGATCCTCCACCTCAACAATCAGACAAAAGCAAAGGCATTCTGTTGGGAAATGGATAAGAATTATATTTTCTCCAAATGGATAGTTTGAATCATGTTCTTTTATGGATATTTTGAAACGTCACCACAAAAAAATTCTCATAGTCAAAACAATGCCACACAAGTCGAACCAATTTCTTTCGCTCGCTCCGGTACTTGCGAATACCATGAAATGCGGTGCAATGAAGATTTTGATGCCATCCCTCGTCCAAAAACACTGCTCCTCAACCAGTAGCTCATTATTTCAACACCATCAGCAACATCAAAAGGCAAGCTATGGAAGTGTGAACGGACCTTTTAATGCTCGAGTGATGAGTGCCAAAGAGGCTCTTACACAGTTTATTAAAGGAGGAAATCGGGTATTCCTTCAAACTGGTATGTATAATTGTTGTTTTGTGATGTTGTATGTTGGCTGAACAAAGACTTTGATTGATTACTCGACGATGGCAAACACCACAAACAACACATTGTTCCGAAACTACAACCTACTCTAGGATGTAACGTTCCAAAGTATTTATTGTCAAATTTGGAGTCCCTTGTGGAAAATAAGGAATTAGTCTTCGGAGAGGGGCACAAAGAAAAGGTTGAATTTGTGGGCCTTCATATCAATTACTATCCAGGTCAACAATCGCCTCATCTTTCTCCAAAGAATAGAGACTATTTTCATACCAATGCCATGTTTCATGGAGCCAATGAGAGAGCAGCCATGAAGGATAACAAGGAAGACCAAGAACCTTTGGTGGATTATCTTCCAATTTTCTTGAGTGAAGCTCCACTTCTTTTCAAAAGTTGTAAATTTCCAATTGATGTGGCGTTGATTCAAGTCTCTCCTCCTGATGCTCATGGTTATTGGTAAGTGAGGTTTTATGAGTGTCTTATCAAAATTTAATGTGAATCAAAATTTTCATTTGTCTTCTAATGTCAATGCATTTATTGAATTTAAACCTCGTACCTGAATCAATTCAACTGATATTCATTGGGAAATGGTACAGCTCACTTGGTGTTTCAGTGGATATTTCATTGGCCGCGGTTGAGTCAGCCAAATTCGTCATTGCTCAGGTGAATAGAAACGTTCCAAGAACACACGGCGATGGTTTCATTCACATTTCTCAAATTAATGCTTTTGTTTATCATGATGAACCACTTTCGGAAATACCATGTGACATTAATAATTTGGAAGAGACTGATAGAAAAATTGGAGAACATGTGGCTTCTCTCATTCCGGATCGAGCTTGTCTTCAATTAGGCGTTGGTAGTTTACCAAACGCAGTGTGTGCTGCCCTCACTAATCACAAAGATATTGGAATTCATACAGAATTAATGTCGGATGGAATTTTGGAGCTTTTCAAAAAGGGTGTGATCACGAACAAATACAAGGGACTACATCAACATGAAATTTTGTGTACATTTGTGATGGGTACTAAGAATATCTATGATTTTGTAAATGACAATCCACAAGTCATTTTCAGAGGAGCTGATTATGTGAACGGTAGGTGGTGCATGATTTCAAAACTCATGTCACGATTGCTTAACTTGTTTTTCAAACACCTAAATTATCTTTAAAAATGTGCATTGTTAATTTACCAATGAAACGACACATTCAGACATTTCCAATATCAAGCAAAATAAGAACATGATTGCAGTGAATAGTGCTATTGAAATTGATTTATCTGGTCAAGTCTGTGCTGATTCTATTGGTACACGAATGTACAGTGGAGTTGGAGGACAAATGGATTTTATGGTTGGCTCTGCAAAATCTAAGGGCGGCAAGCCAATCATTGCTATTCCTTCAGTGACTTCTACTGGAGAATCTAAAATTGTGAACACTCTCAAACAAGGTGCAGGTGTTGTGACTACAAGGGCGCACGTTCATTATGTTTGCACTGAATATGGTGTTGCTGAATTGTATGGAAAGAATGTTCGAGAGAGAGCAAAGGCTTTGATTTCAATTGGTAAGTATTTTAAAACGAAGAATTTGTTATTGACGATATAATTGTTCTCACAAAATCTACCGCAATATTGTCAACCTTGCATAAATTCGACGATCATTGACAACATTAAAATAACAAACAGCGCACCCCATGCACAGAGACAGATTAACTCATGAAGCAAAGCAGCGTTTTGGATACTTTTAAACTGCTTCATTTTTGAAAAATTGCTTATTATAGCTGTGTCTTAAACGTCGCCACAGGACCATCTTCTAAATGATGAATCAAATACAAAAGAATATACTTCCGATTTTGTTTCGCTATATTGCACTACTTTCCTTGTTGAACTCTTTGTCTTTTTATGATCTTTGTTCTTTTGTGACATAGATCTTGCTTGCCTTAAAAATGCATTATTGCTACTGTTGTCACATGAATCAACTACTAAGGCTTTTATCAATCATCTAATCCATAGATGATCTGATAAATATTATAAGGAGGCCACAGCAAACTTGTCAATTTTCACATTATTTCTATTCACTTTGTTTTGCCTCTTTAGATGAAGGCTCAATAAGGAAGGAAGTGCATTCAAAAAAAATAAATAGACATAAAAGTGGTGTTCCCGAGTCATGTCCTCCTCCTCATCAAAAACACCTACTCCAACCTCGGTCAAAATACCCACTCATTCTTCTCCAACAACTTTAGGAGGAGGGATTTCTAACATATCCCAACAACAAGCACAAGGATCAGCCCCGAATCAACAAATGCCTCCTCTTGAAGCTTCATCATCAACTTTAACCACAACGCCACAACAATCACCCTCACGACAAGGACACAGTGATGATACTGCTCCTAATGACGATGCATCCAACAACAATAACACTCACTGGGGCAAGTCTTTTGCGACATTGATCATCATCCTTGGAATCATTTTGGGAGCTTTTATATTGATTTTGGCAACACTTGGAATGTCTTTCAGCGTCTATGGTCTTTATCCATCCCAATGTGCCAAATGTCAAAATGCTCTTTATGCCATTTTCATTTCTCTAAGTATTGGTGCTGTCGGAGCTTTGACAGCTCTCATTGCTTATTTGATTGTGAGCAGAAAGTTATTTACCATTTGCATCTCTTCTAAAAGTGCAACAAGCAATGAAGATCCTCTTTTATATTTGGCTAAAACCAAATTACAAAAAATTCATGCTTGTCCTTGTTCGAGTTTGGGAAGTCGAATTGCAGAATCATTGATTTTGTGCACTCTGATTGTTGTGAGTGTGTTGTTGTTTTTAGTATTCTTTGCAATTTATGTTGCATTTATGGTAATTGTGGATGGTTCAATGGTCAGAAAGAGTGGTTCCATTAATTTGTCGGATATGGTGATTTTGGATACGAGTGCATTGAAAAGCATTCCATCGTATTTGACTCCAAATTCACGAATTGAAATTAAAAGAGATGAAAATGGATTAATGCATGTGACAGGAGAAACTGAGAATGACATGATTTTTGGTCAAGGATATGCATCGGCACAAGATCGATTATTTGAGATGGATCTTGTTCGAAGAGCAGCTCAAGGACGATTGTCAGAGTTGGCTGGAAGCTCAACCTTAGAGGATGATAAACTTGCTCGTTACATTGGATATGGTAGAATGGCAAAAAAAGAGTTGCAATATTTAGATGAAAAAGCCAATAAGACTCTACGGGCATATTCTGATGGTGTGAATGCTTACTTACAAAGTGGAAATGCAATGCCATTGGAAGTGACTTTATTGGGATATACATTGGAACCTTGGACACCCTATGATACTCTCACTGTTGTGAAATATATGGAATCATTCATGTCTGCAAATTGGCACGATGAAGAATTGAGATACTCTGCCATGTCAAAAAATAATGTAACACTTGCGAGAATGGAAGTTTTAGATCCTCCAATTCCATTCAATGCTGCTACTGTGTTAACGAAAGAGGATTTAGGATTGAACACCACTCTTGAACAAGATTTACAATTAGAATGGAAACTCACTCGAAATAATACCGGTGCTTTTATTCCAAAAGGTAGTACTCTCAATAGACGACAAAGAAGAAATAGAAGAAGGAACATTCTGAAAAGTATTCATTTTGCACCGTCAAGTAATTTTGATTCATTTGAAGATGATGAAAAAGATCATACCAGTAGTAGTAGTAGTAATAGTGATCCAAATAATTATTTATTCATGTTCAAAACTTTGAATGACCTTTTGAGAAGAACAAAGAGAGCCATTGGATCCAATAATTGGGCAGTTCACAAAAATTTCACAGACAGCACGAGTGGATATCTTGCCAATGATCCTCATCTCTTTGTACAAACTCCTGATCAGTTCTATCTTGTTTGCATGAATTATGTGAGAACCTTTTCAAGTAGTAATTTGCAACAACCAAAAGAGTTGCGTGGAGCTGCTTTTCCTGGAGTACCAGGAATTGTTTTAGGGCGAAATGAGTATATTGCTTGGGGAATTACTCTTGGCTATACAGATGTTCAAGATATTTACATGTTAAAAGCTGATTCTTCAAAGGAGGATTATTATGTGGTTGATGGTGTTTCACTTCCATTCAAAACATTCACTGAAACTATCAAATCCTCAGATTCTGCACCTGTGACGATTAAAATTCGAGAATCCATATTTGGAACTGTGGTTGGATCGAGTGAAACTGAACTTCCTGCCTATCGATGGGTTGCACAACAAGACAATGACAAATCATTTAATTATTTGATCCACTTGATGTTTAGTAAGAACTGGGATGAATTTAAAACAAATGTCAATGGAATGACCTCCATTGTTTTCAATTTTGCTTATTTGGATGTGTATGGAAATATTGGTTATAAATTATCTGGATTAATTCCAATAAGAAGAGAAGGTCACACTGGTAGATATATTGTTCGAGGAGATACCAAGGCATGGGACTATTCAGGCTATTTGCCAACAAACCAAAATCCTGAATTATTTAATCCTGCAAAGGGTTATGTGAGCTCTGCAAATAACAGAGTCGTTCCTCCTGGTTATCCAATTTTAGTGAGTGCGAATTACTTTTTCTATTACCGACAAGAACGAATTCAAGAATTAATGGATGAATTAATGAAGAATGCTAAAACAAATGGAGCCAAGATTACATTACAGAATATGGTGGACATCCAATTAGATACCTACAGCATTCTGTATCGGGAGTATAGATTCATGTTTGTGAATATGACAAGTGACGTTGCAAAATTTGCTTCCACTAGTTCGTACGCTTCAACTCGTAAATACTCACAACATCTTCAAACTCTATTAGTTTGGGATGGCTATGTGAAACGTACATCCACTGAGGCCTCTCTATTTGAAGGCTTTTTGAGATACTTGAGTACTCTTGTTTCAAAAGAATTTGGTGACAACTCTGAAACTAAGAAAATGGCTCTCTTCTACTTTTATAAGGATGCCATGTTAAGAAACAATGATATTGCTTGTCTTTCAAAGAATTTCAAGTCTTGCACAGAATACGGAGCTGCCACATATATCCATGTTGTTGATTTATTTTACCAACAATATGGAAAAATTCCAGAATGGGGAGATATTCACACCACTCCAATTTATCACATCTCTGGCAAAGACACTCCAATTCTGGGATGTCTTTCAAAAATTTCACTTTCTACAGACGGAGGAACAGAAACCATTCTTTTGAATAATATGAACGAAAATTATGAAACCATTGAAGCTCCAGTGTTCAGAGAAATTATTTCCTTCAACTCTGTGAATGAAGATCGTTTCATTATTCCCACTGGAAATGACGGAAATTTATTCAGCAAAACCTATGAAAATATGGGAACTTTATACGCTAAAGGTCAATATTTAAGTTTTGCCTCCAATATGAGTCAAGTCAATGCTGTCGATACCTATCTCATTTATGTGAAGTAGATCTTAATTCCGCGGAGTTTGACTTGTTCGATCTATTTGCTAGTTTTATATCAATTGATAGCTGCGGTGAACATGTGCTTCAATATGTTTTATGTTGAAAATAATTGAAATAAAGCCGATGATCATCGTCACGATAACATGGTCTGAATATGTTGATTAGCTCAATAAAATCCATGCGGAAAAGATTCTTCCTTACAACAAGAACATTTTGAAGAAGATTCATGAAGAAAGAGGAGTGCGAATGATGTTCAAAGTTTTTCTTTCCACTGTTCAAATAATTGGGATGCGAATATAGTGGATGATTGAAATAAACTTGCTAAAACGAATGCGTTTTCTCTGAATTAAGGTTTTAATGTTTGTCGAATACTTTGAAGTTAATCATCCGTTCAATCCAAATCATGTAATGCATATTGGCCCAAATATCCTTTCCATCTATCATAAAATTCTTGATAGAATTCATAATTCCAAATGCTCATACAAGGAATGCTTTTAATTTTTTCCTTGTCAGAGATTGGATCATTTTCGAGATTTGGGTTTGACAAAGTAATTCGAAGTTCAGATATGACAACGAGTTAGGAGTAGACATAACGACATCCAAACAGAAATTTCGATCTTTTTTCAATCGTTCAGATGCATATTGAATATTCGAATGCGACTCTCACGACATCGAAAGTATGATGGAAGGCGTTTGAGTTTAATTAGCTTTCAACCAAGGTTTTATTATTATGATCAGAACGAACATGTCAACCTTGATATCGAAGAATTTACTACTTATCAGACACCTTTTATTGAAAATTGTGCTCTTGTGTATGAATGTCCTGTTGTCCAATATTTATTTCCAGATTTTAGAAATGCTGACATTGTGCATTGCGAGAAATGTAACAAGAGTGTTCAATTCATTGAAACTATGGGTGAATTCAAATCTCTAATTTGTAAGGAGCAATGTATTGCATATAGACGAGAAAAAGGTGGTTATGGTGGAGGGATGTGTTAAAACTTGTGGATGGAGGAACGAGTGTGGAGAGTGGTTGGTGATGTTGACTGATGTTCCAAATAGATGAAAGTGCCCATATAACTCTGAAGTAATAATTATTCCTGTAATTGAGGTTTGTTCATACGAAACCTTTTTAAACGTAGCGCAAATATTTTCCTTATTTGGATGTCTCCGATTGGATCACAGATCCAAATCACAAGTTCCAAACCATACCACAAATTTGATTCTTTCAATCATGCTGATGCATGCACCATTCAATCATAACAAATTGTTCCTTCATCCCCGCTCAATCAAAATCTTTCACCTCTCTATAAAGTCCTCCATCATCAACCAATTTCCAACCTTGTCCAATGAACCACTTGTTCCCATCAGGCGCATCATACTGCGTAGTACAATGCGTTCAACAGAGAGTTATGGTTATACACATTCCAGGTACCTGTATAACCACTCCCATACTCGGCAGATCCACCACCTTGCTGTTTTTGTCAATATATTAGACACTCGCTCTATACTTGAACCTCGTCCATACTCATATACTTGAACCTCTTAGATTCACCACTTTGGAGAGAGATCAAAAGAAGAAAAGTTTGTCCTCTTGTGCGCACATCAGTGGTCCATCGCTCGTTGCCGAGTTGAATAATCCAACAACAACCGCAACCCTCAACTTCAACCCGTTAGCCTCGAGTGGTTCCATTCAATGGATCCTCTTTAAAAACAAAATCCAAACATTCAAAACAGCAACAACAACAACAACCCTAAGAGCCTTTTTTCTTTTTTGGTTCCGATCACCATCATTGGAGTGTTGTTGTGATTCCTTGTCTAATATCATTATTTGACGACGAGGACTATAACCATCATCATCCGAACTACTCTTGTTGCATACCGAGATCAAAATCTTTCTTCAACTAGTGGTAGAGGATTGATGTCCTCTCGATCTCTGATTAAATTGGAAGAATAATTTTGCAAGAAAGAACAGTCATTGAAATTATCATCATTTGAAATATTGAGGAGCACAATAACAAGCATTACCATCATCATGTTGAATAATAGTAATAATAACACTAGCTCCGATTCCAATAGTAGCCACCATCTTCATCATCATCACTCATCAAGAATGCCAACTGTCAATTCCACATCGGGTATCTCGGATGATCCATCCACCACCACCACCAACAACAACAACCCTAATACCTCACTCCAACTGGCACAACTCTCATTCAACAATTGTCTCGGAGGAGAGTTGCCTCTCCCCTGTAAATACTCACCAAAATTCCCAATTTTTTTCAAATACTCAAGACAATGCAAAAGAACAAGAAGCCATTGCATCCAACAATGAAATGTTCTTTTTTGTCATGACTCCCGATGAAAAGAATCAATTCATGCAAAGGGTTGACCAGTATGTGAGAGAACGACGACCTCACGAAGCACTTTCCTTACTTGCAAATAAGGCAAAAAATTTACAAAATCATTTACAAGATTTAACGAGTCAACAAGAGAGTTTACATCAACAATATGAACAATTAAGACATCAATATCCTTATTTTGATAGAAATAGTAATGTCATGTACAATGAAGATGGTGAATCACAAGAGATTGACTTTCATCGACTGAACCAATTAAGCATGACAATTGGTGCTGTCAAGACACAACTCGTAGAAATTCTGCTCAAAAAAGTTCAAATGTTACTCCCAATGCAACTCGAACAGGAAGCAGAGAGAGATTTGAAAATAATTTTCAATATTGATCCCCAAAATCAAATAGCAAATCATTATGTTGCAGTATTGGAAAAGCAATTACAAGAGAAGAGATTTCGAGAGGAGCAGGAAAACATGGAAAAGTTGAAACGAGGTGGTGATGGGTTAGAAACTATCATTTTGACAGATGAATCAAATCTGCGAGAAACAAGTTTTACTCGAAAACGAACAAACACACTCTATGATTTTGACGAAGATGTCGAAGAGTTGGAATGCCCACTTTGTTATCGAGTTTTCTATGAACCTGTGACGCTGAGTTGTGGCCACACGTTCGATCGAAGCTGTATTTGTAGAGTTCATGATTATAGTGACAAGTGCCCACTCTGCCGACAAACCATTCATGTTGTGCCCTATGACTATCCAGTGACAGTTGTTATTAATGAATTATGTCAGAAATATTGTAAACAACAGTACGAACAACGAAAGAAGGAAATGGAAGAAGAAAATGGTTCACAACAGCTCAACATTAATCACATTCCTATTTTTGTATTGGACTTTGTACTGTATCCTCACACCTTACTGCCGTTACACATCTTTGAACCTCGATATCGCTTAATGATGCGACGATGCATGAGCGGAAGCAAATGTTTTGGATTGGTGTGCTGTGGCCCGAACCGTAATGGTGACATTGCCAAATATGGTTGCATTGCAAAAATTACAAGCTTTAAATTGTTACCTGATGGTCGTAGTATTATTGAGACAGTAGGAACAGATCGATTTAAAATTTTAGAGAAGTGGGACACAGATGGGTATATTTGTGCCAAAGTTCAACTATTGAAGGACAAGACAGAAACTGAAATTAATGTCATGGAGGGTGGGATTGGAGGAAATAATAATAGAAATTCTGTCGTTCGTGACACTCTTGTTTCCTCCGTGAGAATGAGTCACAACACAGCAGAGGACTCGGTCACATCTCCATCACAACAACCCTCATCTTCATCTTCCGGCAACCCTAGAACCACTTCCACCACAACTTCCTCGACTGGCTTTGATAACGTTTGGCACACGGCAGAGAAAATGACCTTACAGCAACTCAATGAACAACTGTATCAAATTGTAGAAATATTCCTGCAAGATGTCGGACCAGAGACCAAACAAACCATCATTCAAAAAGTTGGTCCATTCCCAAAAGAGAACGAGCCAGAAAAGTTGAGTTTTTGGGTGAGTGCCATGCTACCTCTCACGACTCAACTCAAGTTGGATTTACTCGCCATTACCAATACGAAGGAACGATTACGGGTGTTACTGTCGATCTGTAAACAAATTGCACAGTCACAACAATCGAATTGTGTCACTCAATAATAAAGAAAGTGAGAGTCTCAATCTTCCCAAAACGTGTGATGTTGTGATTCTGCCAAAGTTTCATTCACCAAGTTATTCTTTTTCAACCATTGTATTAAGCTATGGAACGCACAGATTCGTCGAATGTACATCATTCTACTATTTCAGATCAGCACTGGAAACAAATAATTGACAATGGCAAGCTCATGCTCAATGCCTTAACACGTGTCTTAAACTTTCAAATAAGGGGAATGAACTGTAATATCTTCAGAATTGAGAAATTCTTTAAATCTGCGATGTTCATTTTGAATCACGTTATTGGTTTTTCAACTAGAATACCAACTAAAGTTTATCCGTCGTTCCAAAGCTCTGGAACTTGTACTTCATATGTCATGGTCAGATGTCTTTGTGAAAGATTTCATAAAGTTGAGTTTTGATTACGAAAATTTAGATTCTTGATGCTCGCTTCTGATTAGAAGCATCCACGCACTGAGCCACAGATCTCTATTTCTTCGGCACTTTGTTTTTGAACCATGATCAAATTTGCATCATTGAATTACCGTGTCTGTTCTTCATCGCTGTCATAATCCCTATTCAATCGTTGAGGTCTTCTCGTGTAAGGTTCAGAATCAATTCTATTTTCCTCATCCTCAGTCGCAGCATGATCTGTATTGACGAGGTTTTTACTCAAAGATGTAAAATTTGAAGAGCGATGATGATGCTGATCGTATATGGAATTGATATTGGAATCCGCTTGGAGATTTCTCTTCCGATATTCTTTAGCACAATAAACAATGACCGATAATAGAGAAAGGGAACATATTAAAAAACCAATCACGCCCATCAACGCGATGGGAATGATGGAAACATATTGTAAATAGGGATTCGGAGTTGATGATGAAGGGTGAGTGATATTGGTGGTGTTTGTTTCCACCATAACCAATGAATACTTATTCAAAGATTGTTGATCTCGTTCAGGGTGAATTTCATATTGTAGTTTTAATAAGGGAGTTGCAGAATGAGCCGAAACGGTCGAGATCAGCCAACATGTGGTGAATAGTAAAATCATCAACACGGAATGATGATGATGCGTGTCGTGATTCAGCATTTTTTTTATGTTGAAATTAAATGAAAATGGAAATAAAGCTGATGATCAACACTATGACATGGTCTGAATAACCTTGCGAGGTTTCGGGTTGTCACCAGAATTGTTGAAAACGCAACAAAGAAGGTTTTGAAATCTGAAACGCAACAAAATTATTTAGAAGAAATACTTTGATCAATCCATTCACAAAATTAATTGTCGATTAGCTCAATAAAATCCCTGCGGAAAAGATTCGACAACGTTGGAACTACATAATGTTCCTCCTTACCACAAGAACATTTCCTGAAGAATAAGAAAGTGGGAATACGATTCTTTAAGCAAAGGAGTTATGTGATTACTGAAATGATTCACATCATCTTTTGGTGATGTTAGGACATGAAAGTGATGAGTTGCGAGTTCTGTTTCCTCACAAACTTGCTAAAACTGAATTAAGTTAATCATCCGTTCAATCCAAATCATGTAATGCATATTGGCCTAAATATCGTTTCCAATCGTCATACAGTGCTTGTGACTCTTCGAATTCATAAATCCTATAGTTTTGCATGTAAGGAAGTTTGATTTTTTCTTTCATCAACCAAGATTCAGGAATGTGACATCCAAAATATTCATATTCAAGTCTCTGATGTTTCAAATCTTTGAAAAACTTCAAAGCTTCATCGAATGAAATCTCTGTTGTTGGATCTTGTTTTAAACAGACTTTGAAAATCTTATCCGAAATGGCTCCCCACAATTTCACACCTTCAACTGCCATTTCAGAACATAAATTATCATTAAATGAATCCAGGATTAAATCCAATCCCTTTGGATGAGCTTTGACAAAGTCCATCATAAAAGTTGTATCTTGTTTCAATTTTTTTAAGGCAAACCATAACACAATATTAGGATCAACATTGTGTCTTAATGCATTCAATAAAAATTCTCGATCGTTCTGTAAGTCATCAGAGAGATATTTCCAATACTTGTAATCCTTTTTAAGGGCAGCAAAAATCACTTCTTCATCCTTTCTTTCAAAAAATCTTTGAAGAACGTCTCGAATATGAATGTCATCGCCGTAACAGCGTGCGAGATTTAAAAGAAGAACATCTTCAATATCAACATAGCAAATTCTGGAGCGATTTAAGATTCCCAAAATCAACTGTTTGTCTTCATGAAAGCATTGTGGAATGTCATGAAATGAACAAGAGCTATCGCTTGTAAGCGCAGTCAAAATTATTTCTCTGTCATTTCGAAATTCTTCAGAGACCAAATAATTTCCACATTCCTCCTTCTTAAATAAGATGCTTCCATTTCTTGTCATGAGAGCTAAAACTATTTCTCGATCGTTTTGAAGTTCAGGGTAAATGTATTCCCAATTAATATTATCTCTTTCACACAACATGGAATTTCTATACTTGTCTGTTTTCACAACTTTCAATACAAAATCTCTGTCCTTTCTCAAATTCATTGGTCCATATTTCAAAATGAGATCCAAATCTCGGCGTTTCAAAAAAGATTTTTCATCGTTCTTCCATGCTGAGTCATAATCCTTGTAAATTCTGGTCAATACTTGGTCAACAATTAGATCATTATCGAGATAGGTTTTACGTAATTTCAAATAATGAACGTGCAAACTTCCCTTGGTCATTGAGAGTGTGCTGATGATTGTGGTGTGCTTGATAATACTCATCTGGCAATTCAACAAGCATTTGAAGTGCTGATTTCATTAGATCCTTGTGATGGCGATAAGAAATTCTTGAATCTTTGAGAAATAAAAGTTGAAAAATCTTCATCTTGTCATCCATGGATATATTTGTTTCCCAAAACGATAGAGACAACCAATCACATGCTTGTGGAACACAAGTTTGAATTTGTTCCTCTTGAATTTTTCCATCAACAATGATAGTCTTTGACAAAGTAATTCGAAGTAATTCGAGAGCGAATTCGTTGTCCACAAAATTTATAAACGACAACAAATCAGGATTCGACGAAACAACATCCAAACAGAAATTTCGATCTTTTTTCAATCGTTCAGATGCATATTGAATATTATAAGCTTGGCATTTAGTTGCATGTTTCATAAAATCCTCATTGTCTCTCAGTCGTTTTGAAATTTGAAACATCTGACAACGCTTCTCACTAATTGCTTTCTTTGCTTTGTCAATGTCATCAAGATCAAATACAAAATCAAATCGACACCTTATTTGAAATAAATGTGCCAACTTTTCTTTCCATTCTTTGAATTGAATGAAAATCTCAACCGGAATGTAATCCAAGATTTCATATCGGCCCGAGCGTAATAGAAACCAAACTTCTTCTTGAAAAGGTTTCCAAAATTCAACAGAATGAAATTGTTCTTGATTAGTTTCATATAACTCTCTAATGTCAATGATTTGCACCATCATTAACTCCAACCAATCATTTTCAGGGACATTTTTATGTTTTCTTCTTGCCCATTTAAGCGTACACTCGTAATCGTTTACGAATTCGATTTTCATTGAATATCTGTCAATAAATGTGGTCAACCATTTCTTCCTTGCGAGTAACCATTTTGTGAATCCTTTGGATTGATTTTCAAATTTTCTTTTCAACAAATCATAGAGATGTTTGATATGGAAATTTTCCATCAGAGAATGTTCTTGATTCATCACCAACGATGATGAAAGAGAGAAAAGAGATTGATGAAAATCAATTAAAATAATTTTCACTTGATCGGTCTTGATGGTGAGATTGCATAATTTCAAGTGTTTGTTTGTGGGAGCTTTCAATGCAACGTGATCGTCATTCACTGGATAGCAT